GATCGGGCCGGGATAAACTCAACAAGCAAGATTTTCCTCTTAATTAATATTTTAAATTTATATAGCCACTTTATAAAGGCTGGGTGTGACCTAGAAAGATCTCCCGACCCCATGGTCGATCTACGAAATGAGCTTAGTGAGTACCCAACTCAGCTGTCGCGGAATAAATCTTCACATATAAATCTTGGAATACATAATTTAAATTTGATAAAAAAAATAATAAAAAAAATTTCGTAATATAAACCCTTTAATTTTCAAAAATATGGATGAAGATAATGTCGATTTCCGAGTAACATCCTAAACCGACATCTGACTTCAGTTTCAAGTCTTATACAAAAAAGTCCGCTGCATTGCGCGAATCACCAAACTTTCACTTACCACAGTACTTAAGAGTAGAAATAGATATTTTCATAGAAATGGAAGTGAAATAAAAATATATAGACGCTATAACGAGTCTTTTTACTTAAGTATCATCTACTTACTTTAGTCACTTTTAGTAAAATAATAGTAGATACAATTTAGAAATTACATGTCATAAAAATAATTTTTAATTTTATTAAAATTAATATTAAAATGTATTTTTACGTAATATTCGTTTATTGATCATCATTTTGATACCCTTCTTTGTGACTCATTTTGATGCTCATCTTTTCTATGGTATATCTTTTGTTTTTGTTTTTTTTAATTCACAGTCTCAATACAAGACGTTTATGTTTGAAGTTATAACCTCATTAGCACAATCTCCACATATATTATTATATATAAATTACATTAAATACAAGCTCCTGTCATCCTCAAATACATGAATGGTATACCGTTGGATTCAGAATTTCACGGGGATTAGCGAATCGTACTCTCCGCTTTTGTTTTTATTTATAAAATAAAAAAAGTGAATAAAAGCATTTTGCTAGGCTTCAATATTGGAATGGTGGTAAGTCTGTAGATCGATACGGGACAAATCGGATTTTGAAGGTTTTGATGCGTACAGCAAGACCCGGATCATTCTTTCGGAACTATCTGGCCCTGAGTTCTTAAGTCCCAAAAACGTACTCTTTTCGAGATAACGCAAGGCATAGGGTTCGCATCCACACAACTTTACGTTAATTGTAGTACTGTCATTGAATACATGTCTCATTTCGCCGACTTAAGGCCCTTATGACCGTGAGACGTGGAGTTTATATTATTTATCGATGGTGTTTTTGATCGGCAAGCCATATCATCGTTAATTCTTCAGCAAATCCCAAGATTGAGCCACCAATTTCGAAGGTTTCCTTCTCCTTTAAGCGGGCAAAATAGTCCAATCATCCCGAAAATTCAGGCAAAAATGTTATGAAAGAAAAGGAAAATTTATTTACGAATAACTCAAAAATTACACACTTTTACCTTGGTTACGTCCATGATTAAATAAAATATTACTAAATTCCCTACAAAAGAAAAAAATTATTCAATAGATTTTTTCCATTTTATTAATTATCATTTCTTATTTTCGATTAATATTCATTAAAATACGTCTAATTATGGCCCATTTCATTTGAAAATAACTACATATTTGGCATATTGCTAAGGTATGAATACGACGTTCAAAGAATTTGTACCGACCAAAGGAGGAAAGTGGGTTCAAATATTTTTTTAAGGGAAACAGAGTTGAGATTTGTATTTCGCACCTCGATAAAGACTTTGATGATTGTATAAAAGATTACTGAATTCTCTACAAAAGGAAACAAAAATCATTGAAATCGGATAATTTTTTTTCCGATAAAGCAAAGATACAGCTTATTGAAATTTGTAAACATGTTGGTTCCAACATTAACGAAGTTTTAAATTAATGTTTGTTTCCTTTGTTGATTATATTCAGCGAGAAAGTAACAATTGATTTCTGTTGTGATATGTTTGATTGTTTTATTTTCCTATTAATTTCTTATTTGATCACTGAACAATAAAAACTGCGAATTTTCGCACGGGCCTACTAGTCGTAATAATTCATTACATTATTTATTTTTTTATTACAGTTTGACAAATTCGTAATTGTTCTGAATAAGTGAGAAAAAAAGTAACCGGCGATACTTAGGTAAAAAATTATAATTTTAAACAATTAATTTCACATTTTCTGTATCCGATAATGCTAATTATTGAGGAGGGAATGGATCTTTTGAAAATATTCTGAGTTCTGAATCTGAATAATGGAGTCAATATTGCTATATACTGTATATATTTTTTTTAATTTTTAGATCTTTGACATTTCGCGTAAAAAAATTGTTTCAAAATTAAGTTTGGTATAACATTTAAACTAACAATATAAAATCCCAGTAAAGAGGTTATTGGGTATCTGTAAGTTCGGGTGCTCTCGGTTGTTGCCGTAGGTTTTAGTTCCCAACCCTAATTTATCCTTTTTTTTTAATATATATCTTTTTATTTATAATATTTAATAATTCTTTACTAATAGTTACAATGTTAAATGGTTGATTTTTATTTAATAAACAAAATTAAAGATGATTTATTTCGGCTCAAAATTATTTTAAATCCTACAACAATATAAATTTATAAACATCCAATTCGCAATCTTTCTAACGGCAAGTCATTAAAATTTAATATAATACTTGTTTCACGTTTTCAGAGTAAGGTCAAAATTCATAATGATGAAAGTATTAAATATGTGTAATGTACTCCTTTTAATTAATTGTTATATGTTATGAAATATATAATATCAAATTTATTAAAATTAATATATTATTATGTGGAAATATCATATTTGTTTTAATTCAAGAAAAAAACTTAATTAAATAAAACAAACAATACCTTTAACAGAGGCCTTTAGATCTTAATTAAAACCTGCTTACCTGAAAAAAACAATAAAGTAAAAGTTAATTAATGAAATTGAATTGTATATTTTGTATAAATTAATTATTATATATATGCACTCAGGTAATTATTAAAATATGCAATAATTAAAAAGGTAATAGTAAAACTGATATGTTCTAAAATTCAACATTAATGCTCACAAATTTAATAAACGGTTTAGGAAAAAATGAATAGTAATTTAAATATTATTATTTATTATATAAAATCTATACATGGTTATTTTTTATAAAAAAATATCACAGTCTTTTAACATTTAAAAGATTTTTACAATACTTAAGAATAATTTTTTTTAACGTTTCGGCTCCAAGAGCCATTTTCAAAAGTTATTTTACTTTAAAAAAAAACAACAACAAAATATTAATCATACTAAAAACATTATTAATAAAAATGTCTTAAAATACATCTGTATATACAATAACATCCTATGGTAGTACTTGTTTTATTAAATATAAAATGTTTTGTTTTATTTTTCTCCTACAATTCCACAAAATTGTTTAATATGGCTAATGTTTTATTTCATTAAAAGAAACATTTTTTTTTAAATGGCTCTTGGAGACGAAAAGTCAAATAATGATAATTTTTAAATATTGTAAAAAAAGAATTAAATGTATAATAAAATACTGTGAGATTAAAAAGGATTTTTTTAATACAATAACCATGCATAGATTAAATACAATAATTATTAAAACAATCTCACAAAAATATGATTAACCTAAAGAAGGGTTTTTATCATAAATATTAATGTTATTATTTTTATGTTGATTGATGAATTTGAAAATTCGAAAAACAGGGACGGTTCACACGAAGCAAAATAAAAAATATTAAAGAATAATATATAATATAAGAAAATATTAAACATGTATGGCAGATCTCTTTCTATAAAACAATCAACCATATAATCTCATTTGATATACAAAGGATACGCTAGAAAACAGGAAATGTAGTGAAATAAGAAAAATGTCTTCGTAGAGATAAATGATAAATAAAATTAACCCCCACCTCCCTTCAAAATCTATACTTAGTTATATGTATTCCTTATTATTATTATATTTATATGTATTCCTTATTACTTATTTATATGTATGTACATATATGTCTGTAATTACTTAAATGTCAATACATTTAAGTTGTTTGTTTTGATGTTCTAAAATGTCCAGTATTGTTTCCATCTCACCCTATCTAATTCATCTTACCTACGCTACGGTGAAAAAAATGACAACAATTTTTGGAAAAATTGTATTTCGTATCTTTGAAGAAGAAAAAGGGCATTCGAAAAACTCATCGTATTAGATATGATATTGAAAAAGTTCTCATAAAATGTCACTTCTTAAATCCATCTACAAATGGTTTTCAATTTTTCTTCTCATAATTTTTAATATTTAAATTGTACTTCCTAACTTTTCTTCTTTCAATATTAATGTTGTTTTTTAAACTGTATTTTTAGATTATATTCCTGAAATCATTAACCTTTTATTTAAATGTCCTTGTTAACTGTTAACTTATCTCTCTCTAATCTTTAATGTTTAATTTTAATGGTTCTTGTAATTTCTAATGTTTAAACTGTATTCTTTAACTTCGCCTCTATTAGTATTAACTTTTATTATTTAAAAATGTATTAATCTTTATTTTTATAGTCTCTGTTATCTTATCTTCTATTAAATCTTTAAGTTTCAATTTTTATAATTTTAGTTCAATTGTACTATCATAATCATCTGTAATTATTCTTAACTTTTCAAACTTTAAATTGTATTTCTTAGCTATAGTTGAGTCAAATTGTAATATAGGGCGAAAATGACCCAAGTGGTTGAAGAGCCCAAAACATGTATAAATAAAATAAATAAATAAATCCATCCACAGGGGTCAGGAAAAAATGCAAAAGTTTAACCTTGTCATCTAACTACGCCCTCAGTAATTTAAAATAATTAGGTAATGCTAAAAGAATATTTGTTTGAAATAAAATTAAAATTAAAAGAGGGTACGGGTAATGGAGATCTCTAGCCTCGACTCCAGAGGACTTTGACAAAAGAACAATAGAGAGTGGAAGATTATGATCCGGGAGCGTTATCCCTAGCAGTTTGGCTTGCCCCTCCTTGCCTGCTCGCTAATTGCCAACCATTGTCGTCGATAGAATGGCTTCTGCTCTAGCCTTTATCCCCGACTGTCGAATCCGCTGCCAGCCGGCGTATTGTTATCGACTCCCCGGCCCGAGATAGTGCGAACATTCTTACCATAGCGCTCCATTCTCCGCTACGGATCGGTTCGCGGTAGCAATGTGCCAGTAATGTGCTCTGCGCATACTTCTCCTAACCATATAATAATAACGTTTCTACTATTTCCAGAACACAAATCCTGAAACTATTGGTTGAATACGCCAGACTTGTGTTATTGTCAAATTGGAGAACTTTTTGAACAATATCAAGTTTAGCGCCAGGTATTGTTCTTGAATCAATAAACAATGTTTTAACTTTTTTTTATCACAGGATAATATCCTTCCTTCTTTATCATCTGTAAGATTTAATCGTTATCATCTTTCTATATTATTCCTCAAAGTTTTTTTTTTTGGTCGGTAAGACATATCTTCGTCAATTCTTTATGAAATACAATGATTGAAGATCTTCTCCTTCGGGTAGGAAAAATAGTAATTTCAGGTAAAAAAAAGTATAAATTAAAAGAAACTTTATTTGCAACTAACTTAAAAAGTATATTGAATACTTAATACATAATTGGTAATTGGTTGACTGTCGTGGATAATGAAGAGAAGAATAGTTGGGGTGGTCAGTCAAAAAGGAAGGCAAAAATAAATGATAATATTTATTTTTACATATGCCGACGTTTCGACCTGAAGTTCAGTCCTTCATCAGGGCTGTCTCCTTTAGTGAGACATTTCTCCCTGCAACACTTAAGGAGACAGCCCTGATGAAGGCCTGAACTTCAGGTCGAAACGTCGGCATATGTAAAAATAAATATTATCACTTATTTTTGCCTTCCTTTTTGACTGACCACCCCAACTATTCTTCTCTTATATAATAGTTGACCTTCGTATTATTAACGGTTCTTCTTTCATTTTTTTTTTTTATTCACATTGTAGTCCTATCTATAATTTCTCAATTCTATTTTATACGCATATGTATATATTTATAATTTATAATTTCATAGATATAGTATTTTCTCATGTATCCATCCATATCTTCAAATTTTAGATACTGTAATTTTCCAGGTTCTGTTTTACTTTTATTAATTACCCCCTCAACATTCCCCAACCAGGTCAGCAAATTTCCCCAATACTTACCCATGTTATTCCAGTTCTAAGTGAAACTCCTTGCTGAACACACCTGTAAGCCTCTTTTTTTATTCTTTTAATGTTTTTTTTTTTGTTTTTTTTCTTCTTCTTTTCTTTCTCCACATCCCTTTATGTCAATTATATCATATTATATCCTTTTTCCTTTTCTTAAAATATCTTCTGTAGATATGTAGGAGTATATTCACAATTGCATATATTATATTATATATTATTCTACAACAATTGTTACCACTAGCGGATCCAGGATTCAATTTTGGAGTGTGGCTTCAGAAACTTTTTGCTTTCATATATATAACGATAATCAATTTGAAAAAGACAAGAAAAAAACTACCTATATGTCATGATGTCTATGTGATTCTTCTAGTCCTATTACATGTAATTACACGAACATTAATAATTTAAGAAATAGTTTTGAATATCTTTTTCTTTAAAAAATGGTTAAATTTTACCATTTTAGGGGGGAGGGGCTTCAGCCCGAAAGTGCTTCCCCCAGTAAATCCGCCTGTGATTGTTACCACCTTTTTACTTCAGTTTAGGATCTTATTACTTAGCTTACTCTGTTTATACGACTTATTGTTCTTAATATTTAATATACTTACTGTTTATAATTTTAATAAGTTTATTCACATTGTTTATAATTTTTTGTCTAAATATGATGTAACTTCCACAATTCTCTATATATTTTTGTATCTTGTCCGTTCTAGCCCTAAAGAGGACCTGCAATGTCGGGTCGAAACGTTGGCTTTAATAAAATAGTTTTGCCACTATTTAGTCTATTTTTGACCGCCACCCCGGACCATTTTTCTTCTAAATTATGACCATGATTATTTGAATAATTCTAATTTTTTTTTTTTTTAATTTGTAAATATGCTAGTTTAAAACCAATATTATGAATTATGAGCGAAAAATTACAGAATTACATAAAAAAAAAAAAAAAAAAATCACAGAATTTGGGACATTATTAGCTGAGATAAAGAATGGGGGATTGATGTCAGATTGAAAAAAACTCGGCACCGGGACTCGAAATTCATAATATTTAGTTTATCATGTTGCCGCTTCCAAATATGTATTTATTATTATTTTTGAATTTTGCACTTTCTTGACTTTTGCCAGAAATATTCACCAACCCGGACCAAGGTCAAGGGTTAGGCTCAAAAGTTAACAACTGCTTTTTGCACTTCTTCCAACACTTTCTCTGGCATTTTCAAATTTTCAACAGAGCGAATGGTATCGTCTGAGATGAGGTCATTGCTGGAAATTACAACTGGATATACCTGGACTTGATTCAGTTTGTAAAGTTGCCGAAGCTCTTGGCACAAGTCTTGATGTTTCCTAATCTTTTCAGAAATAGTCTTTTTCCGATATTATCATCGGTTGGTACCGCTATATCAATGACATACCCAGTTTGTTTCTTCCGATCAATTAATACAATGACCGCTTCGTTATTTACTACCGTGTGGTCTATAATTATAGATCGATACCAATATATTATTTTATTTTATTTTGACATCACCGGTTTGGGCTCATATCGATAATAAGGAACCTCATCTGTTATTATTATTACTTGAATCATTGGTGCGACAACGATGGTTTTAATTCGCTAATTCGCTAAAGTGCGAACAGTTGAATAAATCCCCTCCAGTTTCCACTCGAATCGAGAAGTGTGAAGTAGAAAGCCGGGCGGAGCGTGGAGGCGTGCGGAACAGTATAAAGACTGAAAATCAATGGAGAGCTGGATTAAGTTGGCAGTAGCCCAAATTAGCCGGCCCACTCCACACAGCTCAGGTTAAAATTATTAATTACATTTAATTTATCCACCGCTCTACTTCTTGGCCATGGCCAACTTTCCCTTATCTGTATCAGCGGGGAAATTAATATTCCTCTCCTCCCTGCCAAAGGGATGGGGCTGTAGTTATTAGCTAACAGCTCTGGTCTTCGCTCTTCCATTCTATTGTCTGACGTCATCCCTTCTTAAATATATATAATCGGATATAGGTAGCCGTTCATATATTCATATGTTAGGTACGGTAGATATGTTCATCACATGGATTTTACTTTTCTTGATGACTAAAAAAAAAAATCTGAGCACAAAACTTTTTTTTTTCTTCCTCAACGAATACAAAGCTTCCCTACCTTAACTTGTTAGGAACGGAATATATAGCAATGTGGACTTCTACTCAAAGCTGTAAGGAAAATTTTAACTATAAGTAAATTATAAAACGCATATGAAACACTTAGAAATAACAATAGGCAATACAATCACAACAAGCAGCCATAATGAGGAATAAGTGGACCGGAGCAAAGTACAATAATAGAACTGGAAGTACCCAAGTGTTGGTTGGTATAATGATATATAGAAAATGAATGTGTAACACAAAAAAAAAGTATTATATCTAAATACAGATATGGCAGTTAATATAATTTTTGACAAACGGTGCCACATTACAAAGTCAAACTAAATAATTAAACAATAAATAGAGTAAATTAGTAATGTAATGATAATTCATTTTAAACATGTATATTTTCAGTGAATATAAAGATTCTCTCAGGATGGGAAAATTGTCCCGAAATGTCGGATGTGATTAAAAAAGACTAAAGATAAAAATGGAAGTTTAATTGCCTTAACCTTAAAGTAATAAACTGAAGTTTCCTAGAAAAAGAAAAAAACAAGAAGATAAGGAAAATTTTATGAGTGGACACAACATAATTTTTGATAATAATGAATAGTAAAATAACTAGTAGGCCTGTGCGAAAAATTCGAACAGCATATTGTTAAGTGACCAAATGCCAAATTAATAAGAAAATAAAATAATGCAACGTATCATAAGATATAGAAATCAATTGTTACTTTATCGATAAATATAATCGACAAAGGAAACAAAACATAATTTAAAACTTTATTAATGTTTGGAACAAACAATTTTTACATATTTCAATAAGCTGTATCATTGCTAAAAATTGTCCGATTTCGATGTTTTTTTCTTCTTCCTTTTTTAGGGAAATTAGTTATCTTTTATATAATAATGGGCATAACCAAGAGAATTTTTTAGTTATTTGCAAATAAAGTTTCTTTTCTTTCATAACTTATCTGCCTGAATTTTTGGGGTGATTGGAATATTTTGTCCGCCTGAAGGAGAAGGAAGCCTTCAAAATTGGTGGCTCAATCTTGAGATTTGGTGAAGAATTAACAATGATGTAGCTTGCCGATCAAAAATACTATCGATAAATAATATAAACTCCTCCTCTCTCGATCATAGGGGCCTCAAGTCGACGAAATGAGACATGTATTCAATGACAGTACTACAATTAACGTAAGGTTGTGAGGATGCGAACCCTATGCCTTGCGTTATCTCGAAAATAGTAAGTTTTGGGTAGTGTTGCCCAAATGCGGGGTAGTCTTGCAAACTTAGTCTTGGTCATGGTCTTGGTCTTGCATAAGAGTCTCGCAACAGTCTTGCAGTTACTTATTAGCTTATTACTATAGAGATATTACTGTAATTTTTTAGATAGAGGAAACCTAACTAAGCCCGAAAGGAAAATTATAGTAGTTAAATATAAAAGTATATTGCTTATACCAAATATTAACATATAGTAACTAAAATTGTCGAGTATTAATAACTATTTTGCCTTAATTTTTATTTAAAAAATCGATTCTTTTATACCGGCCTTGGTCTTGGTCGTACAAAGTGCAAGACCAAGGCCCGATTGTTCTGAAGGGTCTTACTGTATGCATAAAAATCTTCAAAGCCCAATTTGTTCCGTATCGATCTATAGACCTACCACCGTTCCACTATTGAAGCCTAGCAAAATATTTATATCGACTAATTGAGAATGATGAAGATGGACAGAAACCAGAAAATTAAATTTACTAAGGTGGGTAGAAGAATTAACATTTCCATTCATATTATTCATTTTTCTTTTATTATTATTTCTTAATGATATTTACAACTGTATTAAAGAAATACATTTAGTAAATTTGAATATATAGATATAATGACGTGAAAACACTTTTTGAGCAACTACCCAATAGTATATTAACACTCTAAATTATTAATTTAAAGAGGAAAATATCAAATTTTTTTACACACCTATGTGCTAGAGAATCGATATTTATTGATGTTCATATTTCAAAAATGTTCACAATATCGATGAAAATATCGATATTTATAGTCTGATATTGATTAGTTATAGGCTGATATATAATATCGATACTTGTGCCTTCGATATCCCATGTCTTTTTTCGAGCTATATGATTATTTTAGTAATTAAAATTATTTTTAATGAATAGCACTTTTTTCTCTTTTTTTTATTTTTTATTTTTTATTTTTCTCGTTAGTAAAAACATTCTTCTAGATGCTGATACAGGTGTAGAAGATGCCCGTTAGAACCTTATGAGAGAGTACAAGGTTAGAAACGCAGCTTTAAGGCGACCCCCCGGACAGAGGGAATAGCAAACTAGGCCGGACAGTCCAGGAATGTAAAACAACCCCGCGGGGGGCGGGGAGGGGGGCCGGTGTAATGAAATGCTCCTCCCCCCCAACTCTACTCTTTCTACAGCCTGTTTACTGTAACCCCGCCCCCCCCCCCCTAACCAATTAGATTAATTGAATGTTAAAAGGTTCCCTTCCTCTTGTTCGGCTGCCAGGAATAATCTAGATTCTAACCAATTAAACTGTGTATTTATTAAACGCTAATCACCCCCGATTTTCAATTACACAGAGTCCCAAGCTTTCAAGGTATCCCCTCCCCCCTCACCCGCAAAATCCCCCGGTATAATACAAACAGGGGATTTGGAGAGCTTAGCATCGGTACAATGGTACTTCTCTTATACCTCTGGCCCTTTCCAACCGCTAGCCTTTTATTTATCAATGGGTTATTTTATTAAAGGGGGTTTAATAGAAAAAAAAGATCACTTGGATTAGATAAATATTGTAAAAAGTAAAATAAATAGAGTAAATGTATTAAGTAGCTAACACGCTTAAGAGAATTTCTTTGAACTTTCACGTATAAAAATTTAAATAAAAAATGTGATTGTATTTTTCTCGTAATAATCTTATAAACTTCTTGCCTTACCCAGAAACTCCACAAATCCATTGAACATCCATCAATATTTTAAAAAAAAATAAAAATTATATAATAGTTTTGAAGTACCATTAGACACAGTTTGACTTAAAATGTTACTATTGCTGACAGTAATTATGCTAAATAAAGTGTCGAAATTTTATATTCTTTATTTAGAAAAAGATTTTAACTTAATTCCGTGGCTCTACAGCCCTAGTAGAACCTTGCTCCACTTTGAAAAAAAATATTAACAAAAATTAACTTATTAAAAAAAATTTACTTCATTGCGGTTCTCGACTTAAATTTATTAACAACTGTTGATCGCTGTCAAGTCTTAATTTTAAGAATCAGCTCATAGTACCTATAATATTTTGTTTTTTATTTTCACCGATTTATGTTTTGTTTTTTTCATTTATATATATTTTTTTTCAAAATGTTTTTACTTTTTGTTGTTTATATATTTTCACTGAAGGTATTGTATATATTCTTTAATGTAGTTGTTGGCCAGATATGTTTTTTCTATTCTATTCTACATACATCTGTTTTGTTAAACATATAACTCAAGTACAAAAATGGAGAAGGGAAATGGATCTACATACCGTGTCATATACAGTGTACATTAAGACAACTCTTTCCATCAAACCTAAAATATACTGTGATAAGGTGTACATATGTTTGTTAGAACTGTTATTTCCAAATAATGGGGGCGCTATGAGGAATTCCGGACGATTGGAGATAGGAACATAGAAGTAAGGGGGGCCTTCGCCCCTCCCCCCACTGATGGTAATCGCATTGGCAGCCGATCCTCAGTCCTCATCCTTCTCTGGTGACTTCGTTAGTCCCATCTTCTTTATCTCGTTTGGAGCGGGACAAATGGCTCTTTCAATGGAATTTCCAACCGTCTAAATCATCTTAACCATCTAACATTTGAATAAAATTCCGTGTAACCAACATTCACTTCTATGTAAGAAAAAAAAAATAAACTAAGCAAGCTGAGAGGTATCTATATATATGTGGCCTCAAATGAAAGATAGACATCTGTCATTATTAAAAAGTTGAGAAAAAGGCAATATTTATAAATAGCTTCAGTTTAGACCGATTCCAATGATTGTTTTTTTTTTTTTTAATTCAACTTAAATTTTGAAAAAAAAATCATCAGGAACTGTTTGAGTTGGACTATAACACAAAAATTTATTATTTCTTCACTTTTTGAAAATTAAAGATGACCGTCAATACAAATACAAACCATGGAATCTGAAAATCACAACTTAAAAACCACTTTTAAGGAAACGAAAAAAAAAAAATCATTATCAATTCAGTACAAACAACAGGGATGTTGTCATTTCCATACTAAAACTTGCTTTTATCAATTTTTGAAGATTTTTTAATCGCTGTTTAAAAGTATTTAATTACAACTAGCCCATGTGCCCATCGTTGACGGGAGTATAGTTAAAATTTGAAAAACATTTTTGGGATCGATATTGTATTATGGCGGGATCCAAATTTAATTTCATAATATTATGTGAGAGAAGGGGATTAATTTAGTTTTGTGGAGTTTTTCTTTCGATTATCGGCTAATCCATTTGGTTAATCCTAAAAATGTATACAGTTGTTAAGCTAGGGAAGGCGAATGACAACTTGAAAGGGAAGATCGGACAAAGTTGAAAAATGAATGGGTTTTACACGTGTTTTAAGCGACAACGCGTTACAGATGTTTGGGATTTAGGATTTTTCCCGTTGAGTTGTGATAATTTTTTCCATCAGTTGAATAGTACAACTTTTAAATGTGGCTGACGGTAGAGTAGATTGGAATGAGAATCGAAGTAACTGCCTAACTGGGACGTCTAGACAAATTACTCAAGAATTCATAACTTTGGTTCTACTTAATATTTTGTTTTCATTTA